AACATGTCCTCCTCACTTGTGCTGATGTAAAAGGCAGCAGAAGTTATATTGACAGTTGATATGGAGAAATGGTCTAGTTTGGAGTCTATTACTTCATTCATTCATTCTTCTTCTTCTTTTTTTTTTTTTTGCTCGGTTTTGTTTTAATTTGCCCTAAATCGTGTCAATTCTAAGGAAGGAATAATTCTGGAGATCTTTTGCCTCTGAATCCTGAAAGGTCTTCCAGTAGCAGTAACACGATGCTTTTTCTCTTCTAGAGCAGCAGTTGACAACCTTTTTCCATAAAGGACCAGAGTAAATATTTTAGGCTTTATAGTCTCTGTGTGTTGCAAATACTCAACTCTGCCATTATAGCAGGAAAGCAGTAACAGACAATATACAAAACAAATGTGCATGCCTGTGCTCCAATAAAATTTCATTTACAAAATCAGGCTGCAGACCCTGTTCTGCAGAGGTAGGATTTAGCAATGCGCAAAGGTGAAAAGATAACAGTTCATGTTCACCTTGTAAATCATGGTGCATACAAAGAGTAAAAGAAATGGAGATATTAAAATGCATGTTCCTGTGCCTGTCTACAGCAAGGTGGTGTATTTTCCTCTGACCCTCTGCTTCCTCTGTTTATTCTTTTAAGGCATCAAAGTCCACAAACTGAGAGATGTTGTCAGCTAGTATTTCTCAGGGTCCGGTGCTGCAGAATAGCAGTTTGCCCCTTACCATGTAAATGGAGTCAGCAGTTTGCAAGGCAAGCTTCACTTCTGCCTCCCGTTTGTCTGCTTTAAAACATTTACCTCTTTTCCTCTCCCATTTCCACTGCACAGAAATACATACAGAGCAATTCAGAAAGTTTATGGTGTATGAATTTGCAATGTCACCGATACATTTTGTGTTGTAGAGAATGTACAAACACTTGCAAGTATATTTAAGCTTGTACTTGCTAAGGCCCTATAGGTTTTTACTTTAGCAATGTTTTGGAAAATGCTTGTGACTCTTCAACTCTTTGATCTTCTTACTTTTTTTTTTTTTTTTTTTTAATAACCAAGGCTTTAAAAAGGTTTGAAAAACATCTTGCCATATCAACCTTACCAGTCATTTCCCAAAAAAACCAAAACCAAACCTGTTGCCATCAAGTCGATTCTGACTCATAGCTACTCTATAGGGCAGAGTAGAAGAACTGTGCCATAGGGTTTCCAAGCAGTGACAGGTGAATTCCAACTGCTCACGTTTGGTTAGCAGCCAAGCTCTTAACCGCTACACCACCAGGGCCCCAATCATTCCCCACCCTTCTCCAAATACAGATCAGTTTGTTTGGCTTGGCTTTTCGCTTCCATGATGGATTTCTGGTTTAGTTCCAGGAAAACTGTGTTCCTGCTGATAATTGTGGATATTTTCACTTAATGAAAAAGAAAACTTGCATCACACATCATGTTTTCCTTTTGGTTCTGGACGCCAAACCTTTGAGCATGATCTTTCCTGTGAACTTTTGATTAACTCTGTTCAAATTGATTTTCTAAATCTCCATTTTTCCAGTGTATTTGTAAGGTGTGAACTACCTTTAAAATTTTCTGTAAATAAAGATGGTAGAGATCTAATATTTTAATAAATAATTACAATATTGTTGTCTTAAAATATTTGATTAATGTAGCCAAATGCATTTCAATTGCAGGAAAAGCCTTTAAAGGAATGTCATTTAATTTACCTGAGTGCAGACAACCTGGAAAATGAACTAGGCAATTATTTTCATGTGGTTTAATGCAATTTTCAGCTGCAAAATTTATTCACTGTGACACCTGAGGAAAGTTAAATTCTTCCTACTTAAATTTCTGAAATTGTAAATTGTAGGGAAAAATAACATATTTTTCCTATCTCATTTGTTTACGTAAGGATAATGGAAATATCAAATGAGAAATGAACTCAACACAAAGTGTTGGATAGAAGATTTGTAGTAGTAGCACTGCATGATTTTGATGGGGAAGAAAAATTGCAAATAATGATCAAGATTGCTAACAAATTCAGACATGGTATATTTATGTAAAAAAAAGTAACAAATGACTTATGCACGACAAAGGTAATATGACATAGGTTAAATGAGTTAAATGAATTATCTACTGTGTCTTAAAATACATTTAATGATTTACTAAATGCAAATCCTATTTTCTTCTCGCTGCAAGTTATTTAATCATTAAGTGTATTAAGTGACACCTGATATTTCTAAACGATGAAAGAAGTGATTTTTTCATATATGTAAGAACCAACTCTGAAAGTACAAGCAAAGAAATATACATATTAAGTAGATGATAAAATAAATGTGATTATTTTCCTTTTATATGTATGTCTTTTCTTTTACTCCAACAAACAGAAAGCTAAAAACGACCTCCAAAGCAATAGACATTTTCAAAAACGAGCTAATAATTTCAGAATTAATACAACTGCTCTACATTTTTCTCTCTGATCAGATCAACCTACCACACACTAAAGCACAAAGTGGATAGTTCACTGATTTTTTTAAAAAGTACAACTGGCTAAGTTTGGTTTATAAAAGTAGCACGATACTGCAAGACAAGAGGAGTTTCCTTCAAATCCTTTTCCCACTTGTGAAGCAGCCAAATTTATTTTATCCTATTTTGTTTCACCTCTTACTTTCATATTTACTTTGCTTCAGAAAAATGATATAGTCACTGGCTAGGGGTGCACTTTTTAATTACGCGTTCTCATACGAAGAATATAACTCAACAGTCTGCTGACTTCCACTATTCTTTGCTCATTACATATTTACATATTAATGTAAGATATATATTCTGGCAAAATACATTATTACTCACATATTTGATTTATGAAAGTATTTATGGAGAGACTATAGCCATCATGTATTTTTGAGTAAGTTGCTAAGAATAGTTATTATATATATTCTCTATAGGGTCACTATGAGTCACAATCCGCTCACTGGCAATGGCTTTGAGTTTTGGTAGTAATTTATTTTTATTTTAAATATTTATTCATCCTCATAAGCAAAATGATTAATTACTCAATATTTTGTTTATGTCAAAATGTCTTGGTTATACAGTGTGTTATTAAATATAAATTGAAGTGAAATCTCTACCAGCAGAAACCATAATATACTGATGAAAAAAACATAAATAAAATGTGTTGAAATTTGGCTTATGTGCCATCATCTCACCCATATTCCCCAAATGAGACTTTCCTAATGAAGAATAAAATCTGGAAGCACTGTTTTTTTTGTTGTTGTCTTGTTTTGTTTTACTTTCATTGTGTTCATTATTTAACCCACTTGATAGAGTCAATGTTTTATATTTACAGGTGGATTAAACCAAACAAAACCCATTATCGTGGAGTAGATTCTAACTTATAGTGACCCTATAGGACAGGGTAGAACAGCCCCCACAGGGTTTCTAAAGAGCGGCTGGTAGATTCAAACTGCTGACCATCTGGGTAGCAGCTGTTGCTCACTATAGCTCTTAAGCACTGCACCACCAGGGCTCCATGGGTGGATTGCCTATCATATTTTGAATTTCACCCTTCCCTTCCTTATGGGCTGTTTTTTTTTTTGCTTCTCCTTAAATCATAATCAAGAAGTGATTCCATTGTATTTTATACTTTTCCAGAAATACTGTTGGAAACTTTCTAAAGGAACTTTTAAAGTCACACTTTTGTTAATATCTATTCAATCTTCAAATATATTTGTTGTTGTTAGGTGCCATCAAGTCAATTCTGACTCAGTGTTCCCATGTGTCAGAGTAGAATTGCCCCATAGAGTTTTCTTGGCTGTAATCTTTATGGAAGCAGATCACCAGGTCTTTCTCCTGTGGAGCCACTGGGTAAGTTCAAACCACCAACCTTTTGGTTAGTAGCCCAGCGCTTAACCACTGCACCACCAGGTCTCCTTCAAATCTATTTAACAATATAAATGTATTTTATGTCCTCATAATTCCCTTTTACTTGCTTTTGTTAAATTAAAAAAAATCATGATTATTTCCCATTAAAATGAAGTATGTACTGATAAAACAATGGAGCGTTTAAATGTTGTACAATTACTTAAACACAAAATTTTCTGGCACAGCACTTAGCCCAGCTCTTTGATTATAACAGATATCACAGATTATGTGTTTAATGAATTAAGAACAGTGATGAATACATACACTCTGGGTGGAAAACTTATACTTTTGAGAGAAATTAATTACATATATTTTAATGTATTTGCAATTTCTTGCTTATTTTCTTTGCATTTTCCTTGTTTATGCTGCTCCAAAGAAGGTGGAAAATAAATAATCGCATTTATACTAAGCTGCTCTGGCTCCTACCTCCGAGGACTGGATGTAAGGGAACCTGTAGAATTGAGAGCTTCTGTAGCAGAATAAGGAGTCCTGGTGGTGCAGTGGTTAAGACCTCGGCTGCTAACCAAAAGGTCGATGGTTTGAACCCACCAGCTACTCCAAGGAGAAAGCTATAGCAGTCTGCTTCCACAAAAAGCACAGCCTTAGAAGCCCTATGGGGGCAATTCTCCCCTGTCCTATAGGGTCACTATGAGTTGGAATTGACTTGACGTCAACGGATTTGGTTCTTTTTGGTTTGGTAGCAGAATAATGGGCTCTAACGAGCAGGGCCCTTGCTTCTTGAATAAAATGAGGGATAATTACATATGACTCTCTCCTTTCCTTTCTTGGTTTATTTATAGGTAGCCTAACCCCTTGCCTGTATAAGTTTCCTGATCACACCTTGAGTCATGGATTTCCTCCCATGCACCAGCCTCTCCTGGCAGAGGACCCCACAGCCACTGATTTCAAGCAGGAACTCAGAAGGAAAAGTAAATTGGTTGAAGAGCCAGTAGACATGGATTCTCCAGAAATCCGAGAACTTGAAAAGTTTGCCAATGAATTTAAAGTGAGAAGAATTAAGTTAGGTAGGTGCTTATTAAGGGCAATGGGGCAAATAACTTGGTCTGCAAACCGTACTCTATTACTGTTAAATTTCTTATACTCTGCTCAAAAATCCAGGACAGTTCTCATTCTACATCTCTACTGTGGAATTAAGTTAGTCAGATTACAAAAACTTTCATTTCCTTGTGAATTCTTAACAGCCAGAAATATTGATTTTTAGATTAATTGCACATTACATTCATATGGTTCAAAAGTATAAAAGGCTAGACTGTGAAATATCTCCCTTCTGCTTATCTTTCCTTTTTACTAATGCTGTAATTTTTTTGTGTATCCTTCCAGAGATATCCTGTGAAGGTCTGTCACAGTCTATTTTATGGATGTACCACAATTTATTTAACCAGCTCCCTACTGATGGAATTCAGATTGTTTTCAATCTTTTTCTGTTAAAAATAATGCCACAATGATTAACCTTAGAAGTTTCATTTGCACCCACATCAATATATGCAGAGGAAAAGCGTTCGAAGCGGAATTGCTTAGCTAAAGAGTATATGTATTGGTAACTGTGATATATGTTGTCAAATTGTTCTCTACAGAAATTGTATCAAATTTTACTACCAGCATTAGTTCATGAATGTCTCTTTAGCCTTTCCTCGGAATGTAAGCTCCACTAAGAGAGGAGGTCTTTTGTTTGCTGGCTTGCTTGCTTAATTGTTTGTTTCTGTTCACTTTTTTCTTTAATGGTGTAATTCCTGCCCTTAGAACAGTGATTGGCACATCGAGTAAGTAAATAGGTGTTGAAGGAACACAATATATTAAACAGATTCGATAGATTAAAGTGGTGCCTCACTCTAGTTTCATTTTAAATTTCTCTGATTATGAGTGAAGAGTGTTCTGTCATGTGTTTGACGGTCATTTGTATTTCCATTTCTGTGAACTGTCCATGGCCTTTTCTCATTTTTTGTTTAAAAGTGTTTTTCATGTAACATAACAATTAACCTTGGTTAAAATTCATGAAGTAGAGTGAATTTTTAAAAAATAGATTGAAAATGATAGTTCAAACCTCTGCACTAATGAAATAGACCATAGGTAACTTCATAATGACATTCATTGATGGGCATCATATGTAATCATTTTATAAATATAGCTTTATAGCCTTAGGCCTTGAAACAATATGTGATTACTATATGTAATAAACAAAGCAGTGGGCATCTTTATAACATTCATTTTCAGGGTGTTATTTTATTGCTGTGAATGTTTCAAATTAGGTGTTGATGATTTACATCAACTTGTATTCCAGAAAATGGGACAATCAATGAGACGCTTTTGCCTGGAGATAGACACATTACCGACATATGTAATAACTGTGCTCAGAAGTGTACATAAACTATTGTGTGATTATAGCCTTGTAATAAACATCTCCCTAGACATATTTTTAGGGAAAGCAAGCATGATTCTTAGTTTTATTTGGTACCCTTCAACAATACAATTAAAATTTTCCCTCTTAAAGTTGAGATTGAAATATTTTATGATATATCACCATATATTTTGTGCATTATATTAAATATATTATAGATTCCTTAGCAGATATCAGTTATTTAATATTAATCATAAAAAGAACAAAAGTTTTTAAGTGTCTTAGAAAGTGGTTATGACACGCATATCAAATTTGGCTAAATGTTATCAGTGACAGATACTCCGATGTGAAGACTTTTGGCTTCTAGAAAAAGTAATTTATGAACTAAGAGGAATTTATTTTTGAAGTGCTGGACAAAAAGCCTACGTTGGATTTTACTAAACAATTTTAAATTGCCACCAAAGATCTATGTATAAAACAATATTTAATAACTCACAAAGAAAGACACACAAATTGAGTGATAATCGACCCACATGGATGAATACTTGTTGAAGTAACTGTTTTTATCATCCTTTCACAGGATACACCCAGACAAACGTTGGGGAAGCCCTGGCAGCTGTGCACGGCTCTGAATTCAGTCAAACAACTATCTGCCGATTTGAAAACCTGCAGCTCAGCTTCAAAAATGCATGCAAACTAAAAGCAATATTATCCAAATGGTTAGAGGAAGCCGAGCAAGTAGGAGGTACTAAAGCTATGTTTCTGAAGTCTTTGCTATTTTAATCATCTGAAAGTAACGGCTTCAACTGGTAGGATTAATACTAAAGCAACAGGTTGGAAGTTTATTTACTTATTTGTGGGTATAAAGAAACATCTTATTATGTCTTACTTTTTTTAAAAAAGAAAAGATAGCCAATACAAATGTAAAAATAAATTTACTGAGAAGAGAAATAGTGAGAGAATGAGATATGTAAGGAGAGCTTTCTAGTTATGTGCCATGGGCGTGAAATGGTAAATATTTTATTTTTTAACACATTCAGATGTTTGGCCTCTATGCTGTGCTGTAGGAAGCAGCTCTACATAAATCATACATATAACTTAATGTTAGTGTAAGCAAAGCTTTTGCACGTATCAGCCTACCAAATGAATAACATGAGCAATTGCTGGATGAGAATTTACTGTGATGAAATTCTCTATTCACACTAAATGTCAAGGTTGAATAAAGGGAATGGTTTAAGAACATTTAGAGCTAGTGCTCCAACAAAAATAATATAGGAATATTATTTATAAATGACTGTCTTTGCAAAGTGAGTATTTATTTCTGCATTAATTTTTTTCTCTAAGACTTGTAACATAAAATGAACTACACTGCAAACACTTAAAACAAGCATTTAAAGTGATTTTAGTTTTCATTGTTGTATAAAGAAAATTTGAAACCTAAATTTCATAGTTTTAAAAAATACCTACTTTTTAAAAATAATTACCTATATTTTTCCCATTACAGCATTATACAATGAAAAAGTGGGAGCAAATGAAAGGAAAAGGAAACGCAGAACAACCATAAGGTAGCCATTTGAAATATTAAAACTTATCAGAGGAAAAGAAAGACATTTTACAACTGGAATGAACAATTGAGTGTCATATAGATGCAACATAATATATAAATATAAGGTGAATGAAATCAATTAAAGAAACATGATTGGCCAAAAAAAGCATAATTAAATAACAGGAATGGAAAGCTGGTAATTTTTTAAAAAATTTTTTAAATTGTTGTAATTAAATGAAGTTTACATTTCCAGTTAGTCTCCCATACAGAATTTTTTTTTTTACATACATTGTTATGAGACCCCAACTGCTCACCCCATTCTGCGACAGCACACTCCTTCCCTCTGCCCCTGATTCCCCATGAACATTCAACCAGCTCCTAACTCTCTCTGCCTTCCCATCTCACCTCTGGACAGAAGCTGCCCCTTTGGTCTCTTGTATCTACTTGACTAAGAAGCACATACTTCACGAGCATCACTTTATCTCCCACAGTCCAGTCCAATCCCTGTCTGAAGAGTTGGCCTTAGAAATTATTTTAGTTCTGGGGTGATAGAGAGTCCAGGGGCCATGCTTTCCGGGGCACCTCCAGTCTCAGTCAGACCATTAAGTCTGATCTTCTTACTAGTATTTGAGTTCTGCATCCCATCGTTCTACTGCTCCATCAGGGACCTCTGTTGTGTTCCCTGTCAGGACGTTTATTGGTGGTAGCAGGGCACCATCTAGTTCTTTTGGTCTCAGGCTGATGAAGTCTCTGGTTTACATGGCCCATTCTGTCTCTTGGGCTAATACTTTCCTTGTGTCTTTGGTGTTCTTCGTTCTCCTTTACTCCAAGTGGTTGGGACCAATTGATGCATCTTAGATGGAAAGCTAGTAATTTTTAACATTCAGTGGAAAACTATGTGTTGTTTGATACAAAAACACTTTTGTGCCACAAGTGTTGGATAAAGACAGAAACCGAGCAGTCACTTCTAAGAGGGTGACTTGGCTGCTGCCCTTATATAGATGTAAATTCTTGCCCTGGCAGTATAGTATCAATATTATTAAAATTTACAAAACTAGTTATAAGTATTTCAGTCGTTTAAAGTCCAACATGACTCTACATTTCAACCCAGAGAGAGTGTTATCTTTTAGTAGTTCCTATTAGGTACACCTTGTTCTTGTAAGCTGCCTTCCCGTCAGCCCCTGACTCATGGTGACGCCATGCACATAACCAAAACAAAAAAAAGAAAAAACCGCATTGGGGTCCTGTCTATTCCAACTCATGGAGACCCCATAGTGCAGGATAGAATAGCCCCGTAGGATTTCCAAGGCTGTAATCTTTACGGAAGCAGACTGCCACATCTTTCTCCCAATGAGTGGCTGGTGAGTTTGAACCAAGGTTTTGGTTAATAGCTGAGCACTTAACCACTGCACCACTAGGCTTCTCCACGCACATAGGAAGTACTAAAACAGTATGTTTTGTTTGGGTTTGTTAGTCATCCATTAAACATTTCACTTATGGTGAACAATCTAAATGATGTTTTTGAACATTTAGAAATGCCTGCCAAGTGTTCCTTTCCTTTTTAGGAACTCAGTGCCCTCTTGTGGCACAAAGTGAGATAATCAAAGAAAGTCTGGGCTTCCTGCTTCATTCTCCCTTGTGACCCCTGTAACTTTACCCTACATAAGACAAGCTTCTAAATATTTAACAAGTTGTACATTTGTCTTTGTTGAAAAGCTTTGCAAGTGTTTTCAGTCTTTAAGCTTCCTTTTCATGTTAATATTTAGTGAATTCAATCTAACTTAATTTTGAGTTGCCAAAAAAATAATAATAGTAAGTCACTAAAAACAACATAATTTCATCTCTTTCTCCCAGTATTGCTGCTAAAGATGCTCTGGAGAGACACTTTGGAGAACAGAATAAGCCTTCTTCTCAAGAGATCATGAGGATGGCTGAAGAACTGAATCTTGAGAAAGAAGTTGTAAGAGTTTGGTTTTGCAACCGAAGGCAGAGAGAGAAACGGGTGAAAACAAGTCTGAATCAGAGTTTATTTACTATTTCTAAGGAGCACCTTGAGTGCAGATAAGATTTCCTATTGTGTAATAGCCTTTTTTTTTTTTTTTCTATTATTCGTTCCTCTCTTTCCCCCAACAAAAATAGAAATCTGTTAGATTGGCTTCAAAAATTGTATTGTACCAATAGCCTTTTGCAGAAGCTTTCCCTTTTGCTTTAAGTTATCTTGATGAATTAGTCTTGAAAATAATTGCTCGGAAGCCACATTATGCATGGTAAACCAAAGATACTAACAGGAATAAAACAATGTTTCTCTTGTTTCTCTTTCTCCACCCCTCTACACACACACACACACACACACACACACACACACACACACACACACACACACCTCCAGGTTATCCCATCTGAGGCTGTTCTAGGACCACTGTCCCGTTTACCATCAACTCTAACAGCTTC